AACCATTGCTATCTCCTTGGTGTTGCTTATCCTGCCTATCTTACATAGATAAGGCACCAAGAGAAAAAAAAGGAGAGCAAGAGACCATACAACTAGTTCCAAGTCTAACTGTTGTCCTGACCTAGAGTAGATGAGTACCCCTCTGTTCAATAGCAAGCAGGCCCTGTTATAATCCATTGGTACAATTCTCTTTTCTTTCAGGGAGTCATATCCCAGTACCCACTTAACTAATTCGTTTTGGAGGGGCGTGCCATCTACTGGACCCTGTTGCTCTTCCTGCAGTCAAGGATGGAGCAGTCTAGTGCCCCACCTCACACCCCATTACACCTTTAAACTTTCAAATGTGCCCTCTTGTGAATATCCCTCACCAGTTCAGATGAGGTGCCAAGTGCTGCTGGGTCATGAACTTCAGAACAGTCAACCAGCTCTCATCTTCTCCTCTGTCTCTTTATTGCTGCAGTTCTCTCACTTCCACTCAACAAGTGAATCCAGGTGGTCACCTAGCAAGCATTTCAACTTGTCCACAGGCTCCCTTTAACAGTTCAGTCCTAGAGAGGAGTTTCTTCAGGGCTCCAGATTTTTTCCAGCTTCTGACAAAAACCACTAGCTCAACATTCGTTGCTGTCATCTCATACCTTTTGTGATAGACATTTTCTGCCCTCCCACCTTAGCAGTGTGTTATGTATGGGGGGGGGACGGGATGGGGGGGGGCTCACTCTTGCCTTCTTTTCACTGTTGAGTCAAAGACATCTTGAGCATTGCTTTCAGCGCTCTCTGACTTCTGTATAGTATGTTACACTATGTGGTGATCTCATATGTGTGCTCTGTGGATATTGCTATTCTGACCAATGTGAGTTGGAATGTAATTTTTGTAGTGCTGTTTTGTTGTTGTTGTTGTTGTTGTTGTTGTTGTTGTTTGGACATATTCTCTAAATTTTTCCTGGTCTGGGAAAACCCTTGCCTCTCTATGGAAAGTTTGGCAGGATAGAGGATTCTTAGGTTACCATTATTTACTTGTTCTCGTTCAACTTTATGTATTCCTTTTGGAGCCCTGTCTAATTGCTGTGCTCTCTGCTTCCTGGATGATTGTCTCATTCTCCTTCATTAAATTGGGGATATTTTCTTCAAGGAATTCCCTGGCTATCTTGACTGTTAACTTTTTCATTATGTCTCGCTCTGGTGATCCACTTATTTGAATATTGTTTCTATTCACAGCATTGCTTATTGTTCTCAGGTTTTCTTCAGCTTCTTTGATTATCTTGTTTAATTGTCTTTCACATTTGTTAAATTCTACTTGTTTATCTTTGAGATCACTGATATGACTCTCTGCCTCTTCCAGTCTGGTGGTAAGGTCTTTTACCATTTGCTTTGCTTTTGCTACATTTCCCCTTAAATCTTGTATTTCCCTTCAATAAGCAGGTACTCTCCTCTCAATTTTTTTCATCCTCTTTCTGTATTGATTCCCTCATGTCCTGTGTAACTCTAAGCAGCATACTGAAGATTTCTTTCTGTGGTGGCCCAAAGTCTGCTTCTTTTATGTATGTTGCTAGGTTCAGGTCCTCATCAAACATTGCATTTTGTTTCTCTTGCTTTCTTGTAGTGGCTACTGATGTGTGTTGTCTGCATGGCATTTTGGTGGAGCTGGGTGCAATTTTTCTTGGAGTCCAGGTGTCCTGTGAATTCATTCTCTGAGGCTAGCAGGTATGGTTCTAAGGACTACCTGGAGTCAGCTGCATTGCGGTTTTGAGCTGCATCTCAATTTCATTTGGGTTGACTGTATTCCTTGACAGCTGGACCTATCTATTTGGAGGGTGACATGGGTAGCTCTCTCACGCAGGGTGGGCGGGGCTATCATGGACAGCAAGGGTGGTGCTGTACAGGCCAATTACACGCATCATGAGCTAGCACTTACAGGCCTTAGAGGGAATGGGAGCTACTCAAGGGGTATGTGCACAGACCAGTCACAGGCTCCAATTGCTAGCAGCAGTGCCAGGTCTGTCTCAAGCAGTGAGGTTGGCACAGAGCTGACTGATTATGTGCAAGCTAACCAGCATTAATGGGGACCTCTTAATTTTCTGATCTAACAATAGGTGCAATGGCTGGGTGATCATACCTGGATGCCATCTTTACTACTCCTCTCAGTGGTTTTATTTTTCAATGGTATTCCCCCGTGATTTCACAGTGTAGAGGAATCTAATTAGTTGTTGTATGTGTCTTATAGCTTGCTTTTGAATCTTGGGGGGTTTTATTTTAATTGTATACTTTGATGAATCTTTTTATTTGTTCCAGTAATTTTATTGTTATTAATTCCCTGGGTTGTTTTTTTTTTCAATCAATAACACCATATCATCTGCAAATAGAGGGTTGGGGTTTTTTTTTCATTTTCTTCCTCTTATTTCCTATACAGTAATGCTTGTGGTTGTTAAATGCCTGAGGTTTTTAATCTATAATATATCATTTGCAAATAAAGGTAAGTTTGGTTTTATTTTCTTTCTCTTCATTGATGTCATTTGTGTGGGGTTGGAATTGGCCACCCTTCTGGTCACTGGAAGGATGTTATTGATAATGGTGTGTGTGATCGTACCTTTCTGGTTACCAGCTACCAGTGTGGGCACTGGTGCTGCCCTGGTTGAGTGGAAGTTATTATCTGTTTGCTGTGCCAATCAAAACTTTTAAAAACTTTTAAATGACCATAGCTTGTCAGGTTGGTTGACAATTTGCCATATTATATGTCTCCTTGCTCTGTTTTCTTTCAGTTTCTTCTACTCAGTGTTCAATCCACTATTTTAATATTTCATTTAAAGCTAAGGGTTTTAGCATTATCATTGGTATCTATTTCATTTCAGTTCTCATGTCTTTGTTGAGTAGCTTACCTGCTTAGTATACTATACCATCTTGCCCAAAGTTTTTTCATATGCTTTAAGATTTTATTTTTCTCTTTGTTTTTCAGACACTTTTTTATTATATGCTTGGTGTGGTTTTTATTTGTTCATTTTTAACCTGCTAGGGTTTTGAATGTTTCCATTCTGAATTGATGACTTGGTGTCATTCATAAGTTTTAGAAAATCATTAGACAGTGTTTCTTCAAATATTACTTCTCCACACACTCCTGCTTTCTGGAACTCCAGCTGTATGTATGTAACAGAATCTTCACAGTACCCCCATTTATTGTTTATGGTTTTTCTCTTTCTTTCTGTGTTGTTTTTTTTTACTTGTTTATCATCTCTGTGCTTCAATCTGGATATTTCCATGAGTCTATATAATCAGTCCAGTGGTGTGTGTGTGTGTGTGTGTGTGTGTGTGTGTGTGTGTAGAGAGAGAGAAGTTTACATCCAGAAATGGCTCACCCAATTGTAGAAGTGGGTAAGTCCACTCCAGTTTAAATCTGTGTACCAGATGTTAAAGTGGAAGCTTCTCCTCACTCATGTGATGGAGGGGGCTAATGAACTAGGAAGCAGGAAGCCAAACAGAACAGGAAGATGCAACAGGAAGACCACAGGCTGGTGGTCCAATGACTCCAAGGTCAGCAGATCAGATGACAGGTCTGATGGCAGGTTAGATGAGAGGCCACTGATGGCTGTAGGGTACATAGGCAATATGGCAGTCCACTGACTCAAATTCAAACTACCATAATTCAGTGGCCATCAGGGGTATATCCTTTCACCATCCATGCTCGTTCAATCTGTATGCTAAAAAAAATAATCTCAGATGCTGAACTTTATAAATAAGAATGAGGCATCAAGATTGGTGGAAGACTTATAAACAAGTTGTGATATGCAGATGACACAACCTTACTTGCTGAAAGTGAGAAGGATTTGAAGCACTTGCTGATGAAGGTCAAAGACTGCAGTCTTCAGTGTGTATTGCAATACAGTGTAAAGATCACAATAATGCTCACAATTGGACCAATAATCAACATTATGATAAAGAGGGAAAAGATCGGAGTTGTCAAGGATTTTATTTTGCTTGGATCTACAATCATCATTCATGGAAGCAGCAATCAAGAAATCAAAGGACATATTGCATTGGGCAACTATGCTGTACAAGATCTCTTGAAAGTGTTAAAGAGCAAAGGTGTCACTTTGAGGGCTAAGGTGAGCTTGATCCAAGCCATGTATTTTTTATGTCCTCATATACATGTGAAAGCTAGACAACAAATAAGGAAGGCCACAGAAGAACTGATGCATATAAATTATAGTGCTGTTGAAAGATATTGAATATACCATGGACTGTCACAAGAACAAGTAAATCTGTCATTGAAGAAGTATAGCTAGAATGTTCTTTAGAAATGAAGATGTTCAGACTTCATCCCATGGACTTTGGACATGTTATCAGGCAGGCCAATCCCTAGAGAAGGACATTATAATTGGTAAAGTAGAGGAACTGTGGGAAAAATGAAGACTTTCAATGAGGTGGATTTACACAATGGTTGCAACAATGGCCTTAGACATAACAACAGATGTAAGGATTGTGCAGGACCTGGAGTTGGTTTGTTCTGTGTATATAGGGTTGTTATGAGTTGTAGTCAACTGGAGGGTACCTAACAACATAACAACAATTACTGAGTAGCTATTATGATTTTGTAATATTATTTAAAATGTAAATCATACTATAGTATGAATGTAAATCATGCTATGAATGTAAATCATAGCTATAGTATGAATCAAAAATAATAATGCGTAAAGAAAAATATTAACACAAAAAGAAACGATTCAAGGAAAATGCTCAATGTAAAGAGAAATTTTGCTTTTAAATCCAAGGAGAGAAGACAAGGCCTTTGAATTTCTTAGTCAACCTTGCTGGGCAATCAGAGAATTTAGCAAAGCCATCTTTTAAAGAAAGAAAAACTTCTATATTTTTCTTGAGTAAAAAAATAACCATAACTCTGTCCTCCACTGAGGTGCTCTAGAGTTCCTCCAGAAAATCTATTAGTGGCATTTCTTCTTAGCAAGCATATTCACTTTTCTGGCATTTCATTCTAAAGAGAGCTTCTGTTTCAGGTCGCCTGAATTGGTGGTCCACAGCGTGCACAAGCTGTAAACGTCTTCTTCCTTTGGCCACAACAGGGGATGGGAACTGCCTTTTACATGCCGCCTCACTGGGTAAGCACAGAGAGAAAGTAAGGGTGCTAGGTCTGCTTGATGTATTGTTAATGGACAAATATTTGCTAAATAGAACTACACACATCACTGTCTTCTAAAACAGTCCCCACGATATAGGACTAACCATATTGGTCCTTTTGTCCAAGTAGCTCACAAGTTTGGAGAAGAGACAGAACATAGCAAGAGTCATCATGCTAGAAAGAGGTCTGAGCATGAGATCTAGGGGTGGGGATTAGAGGTTGTGTTCTACAGCAGAGTTTGGCAAACTTTTGAGATAGAAGAGCCAATCCTGTCCCTCGTAACAATTTAAAAATTATTCAAGAGCTATAAATATATTTTTGCAAACAAATGAAATCATCATTGTCTAAATAATAGCCTTTAAAAATGAAACTATGGTCGTTTTATTTTCCATTTTATTTCAGAGCCACATGTACATAGCAAAAGAGCCACACACGGCCCGGGAGCCACAGTTTGTTAACCCCTGCTCTGGAGCAACCAAAAAGAGCCTCGTGGGGGAATGGGGGGAGTGGAATGTTTACTGACATTTTAAGAACCTAAAAATGTGAAGTGTATAGAAAAAGCTATTCCAGGCAAGGAGTAACACATAAATTTCAGAATCAACATAATGTTTGGTGGCTGAGCTCAGTAAGGCTCAAGCAGAAAGCTTAGGGAGAAATATGTGAGATTGGATAGATGTAGAATTGTGACATTGACAACAGCAAATAATAGACCTTCTTCAAAGAAAAACAAATGCAGATGCCACCGGGTAAATCATAGTGGAATCCATACAATCAAATATACAGCAGAGCTAAGTAACCTTATCCAGCAGTGTTAAGAGCTTCCTGCTCACAAAAGCCCCACTAGGTGGTGCACAGGTGTGGCTGGCAATAGTTTAATACCTGGCAGTCACAATAGACTTTCTGAAAGCTCATTTTTCCCTTTAAGGCCCACGTTACACACAAGCCAAGTCCATTTTCACAAGTAAGTCTGGATTTGTTTCAGGGACCATAGAATCGGGGCTTAGGAGTCCTTGTCATCCCTTGGACGTGCAGTAGAGTCTATTTCCAGGGGTCAGGATACTCATTATCAAATGTACCTGCCCAGGTTAATGTAGCCTATACTTGGTCCTGTGGCCCAAAGTAAGGGCCAGCACCAGACATGCCTATAGATTTTCAATACAGTCTATTCAGCACGAGGTAAGGTTAAAATGAAACTATGATGGACTTGGTGGGGGAAATTCCTGTCCTGAGAAGACCCAGAGGAGAAAGTAACTGAGAGAAAGTTTACCACTCTAGAATGACAAGTGGCACCACTTACTTCTTTCTTTTTTTTTTTAAGCTAACAACGTTCTATCTGTTGGGATTGTGAAAAATAGTCCACACTATTATAGTGAGAAAAATAAAGATATCAAATCCCTCCACCCAAAAGTGACACCTTCCGCCATCCTGGTGTAGTGCTGGCGAGTGTGTGTCTCACTTCAGATGGTGCTCCCTCACGGGGTAAACCCAGCCTTTCCCCTGGCAGTTCCACTGAAATCCTTCTTCACAAATATGGATTCGATGGTGGGGTAGTATTTCATCACAAGTATTTCCCATTAGTGAAGGCCTTCTCCCTTGTTTCACATTTAAGCGAAAGAAGGAGTAAGAACGAAGCAATCTCTTATCTCTGTCAGACGGCAGTCTGGTTATAGAGTCTCACATGGACATCATTTATCCTCTGAAACTGCAGTGTGACAGTTCTTTCATAATCCCCCAGTGTGAGCAAGGCCCCTGTTGCTGGGTGCTTTCCTATAGCAGGCAGTTTCCTCCCATGAGCACATAGGTCCCTAGCCTGCCTGGGGAAAGCAGAATCCTTTGAACAGTTTTGGCTATATAGCAGAAGAGGCAGGATCATCAAAACTCCTTAGGCACTAGTTATTCTCTTCCCTTTTGTACTTGAATAGCTGAATGCACAAGCACAAAGCAGCCAGCAGCCACAGGATAAACTAGGTAGTGCTGACTGACCATCTGCTGACCATGCCCACCTTAGAGCCATAAGAGTGGAACTCCCATAGGAGTGACAGTGATCCCCAGTCAGTCTTGTAGGCAGGCGCTCTGAGACAAGAAGACTCTCTGTAAGAGGCCTAAACATGAAATGGGGGAGTTTACATAGAACAGGGATTCCCTCTGCCCAGTGGAGCCCTTAGGCCAGAACTGAGGGTGAGTCATATTTGCCAGGCGTGTTCCATAAAAGGAATATAGCCCTCCCTACCATAAGACAGGGCACCATTTGTTTCTGTTGTGAATGGGATCACCAGGAGTTGACATCAAGTCCAAAGACAACTTCACTCCCTGGGAGGGAAGTCCATAGCTGTCCTTGCCTATGACGGGTGCACAAGTCCTTGGTTATGGCCTCATCTTCCAATCACAGGACTCACAGTCAGGTGACAGACTTGTTTTTGTTGCTCCTCATCTGAAAAGTGCAGTGACTCCCAATGCATGGAGACTTAACCCTAGCCCAGCGGTTTCTCCACCTTCTTCACGCTGTGACCCTTCAGACAGTGCCTCATGTGGTGGTGACCCCCAACCATAGAATTACTTTTGTTGCTACTTCATCACTGTTATTTTACTACTGGTATGAATCAGGCGACCCCTGTGAAAGGGTTGTTCAACCTCCCCAAAGGGTCACAACCCACAGGTTGAGAACCACTGCCTTAGCCCATGAGCCTCTCTAGCTTAAGGCTTAGCCTTTGGCCCTGCTCCAGCTCTATCTCCTCCTATTTACCTCATGGGTTCTCCTCATTGCCTCTCTGCTGGGGTCCCTCTGCATGGTACCCTCCTCCAGATGGTGACCAGCTTTCACCCACCACGTCTCTGCCCCCATGTCTCTATTTCACCCTATGGCCAATATACTCTTACTTGTCCTCTCAGGTGCTTTATCGCCCTCCACAAAGCTGCCAGTTCCACATATAGCATGTTGCTTGCATGTCAAGGCATGCTACTTTCTAACAGTTCGTACTACCTGCAGTTTTATAATTTGGTCTGCTGGGGTTGCTGCCATGTGTACTCCCCCACCTAGAATTTCTACAGTAGTCACTACTCTTATTGCAAAGTAAATATGGAGTCAGTTAAGTGAAGCATTTTGTTATTTTCAGTTGAGTTTAAGTGTGACTCCGGCCCCAGTGGTGCAGTGGTTCTGTGTTGGGATAAAAACCATATAATTGGCAGTCTGAAACCCTGAGTCTCTCCATGAGTGAAAGACAAGGCATCTGACAGAGTAGAACTGCCCTATATGGCTTGTTAGGTGATCATCTTTGTGGGAGCAGACCACCAGGTCTGTTCAACCACAGAGCCATTGAGTGTGTAGGAACCACTGCCCTTTCATTGGCAGCTAAAGACTTCAGCAATGCACAACTAGAGATTCTTAAGTGGAATATAATGGAATGAAAGTATCCAAATGAGAAAATCAATGAACAAATTCCCCTGCCTACACACACTTGCTAGCCTGGGTTGTATCTCTCCTTACTGTTTCTTTCGTTGTTGGATTTCTTGTTCTTGGTTCCATTTGACCTACTCGTTAATGGCTGGTTTGTCTTTATGGCCCTCAGCCTCCCGATCTAGGCTGAAGTGTGCAGACAGGGAAGCGTCTTTCCAGAAGCCAGGTTTATATCTTGGGCCCAGACCTGTATACAGTGTCTATTGAAGCCCTGCTTTTTGGAAATTTGAGTTGTCTTAATGCTACAGGTCTCTGTATAAACTTTATTTTATTTTTTTTAATTATTATTTTAAAGAACATTTTATTGAGGGCTCTTACATCTTTTATAACAATTCACACATCAATTGTATCAAGTATATTTGTACATATGGTGCCATCATCATTTTCTAAACATTTACTTTCTATTTGAGCCCTTGGTATAGAGCTCCTCTTTTTTCCCTCCTTCCTCCACCCTCCCACCCTTGTGAATCCTTGATAAATTATAGATTATTATTATTTTCATATCTTACACCGACTGCTGTCTCCCTTCACCTAGGTCTGTCTGCTGACCTTTATGACTATCTCCCAACCGACCCGGGGGAGTTCTGAGCACTGCCCTTCCTAGCCTGACGTCTATTTTTAGGGCTCCTGAGGGGCTTTGTGGCGTTGCTTTGCTTCTGTTGCTGATCTGTTTTGTTCCCTTCCTGGTTCGTCCCACTGTGGGGGAGCTCAGACAGGACTCCCTCCCGCTGTGTGTCCCCAGTATTGCCCTCTGTCGCAGTGCTCTAGCAAGGGGACATCATGTCTCGAGCTGTTGTCACCCCTACAGTCCTCTCTGTGCCTTAGCAGCTCCATGTGCAGGGACATCATCCTCAGGGCTTGGTTGGCCAGTATGGGTTCTAGTCTCTCACTGTGTTGGTCTGGGTAGACTAGAGAAACAAATTCTTAGACACTCAGATGTGTATAAGAACGAGTTTTACATACAAGAGCAATTGAATATTGAGAAAACATTCAAGTCCAGTCCAGATCAAGTCCATAAGTCCGATATTAGCCTATATGTCAACTATTAGTCTATAAATTCCTCTTCAGACTCATGCAACACATACAATGAGGACGAATGCAGGAAGATCACAGGTCAGTGGGTAGAAAGTCTTGTGAATCCAGTGGCGGTATAAGCATCTCAGCACTGGCAGGGGTCTCCATGTGGCTCCTCTGGCTCCAGATTTCTGGCTGAGTCAGTATAGCTCTATCAGGTTCATCGTCAGTAATGCCTCCCAGGGAATGTGTGTGTGTCCCACCTCCAGCAAGTTATTTATCTCCTTAGCACCTCCAAAGGAAGTCATCAAGCTGCAACCTGATAACAGGCTAAACTCCACCCCTTCGCCCTTAAGTCTCAAATTGACATCAGATTATGTAACTACCATACTCACCTCTCTTTTTCCTTCTTGATTTTCTTCCATGTGGGCACAGCAGGCTGGGCGCTCTCCCCAACCTGTAATATCAGTGTTGTTCTCTGTATCACATACTTCTAAGAAGGAAGTCATGTCAAGTCATGTCATCTATAAATAGCGATAATTTCACCTCCTCCTCTCCCAGAGGGATACCTTTAATGTCCTTCCACTGCCTTATGTTGTTAGCTAGGACCTCCAGTATGATGCTGAATAGAAGTGGAGACAATGGGCATCCTTGTCTGGTCTCCTTTTTCAGTGGGATTGTTTTCATCTTTTCTCCATTGCCAATGATAGTGGCTTTTCATAAATAGCTTGTATTAACATGAGGAATTTTCCTTCCAGTCCTATCTTCTTGCGAGTCTTAATTAGAAATGGTGTTGAATGTTGTCAAATACCTTTTTTGTGTCTATCAATGTTATCACGTGGTTCTTATCCTTTTTTTTTTTAAACAATGTGGTGGATTATGTTGATGGATTTTTGAGTGTTGAACCATCACTGCATCTCTGAAATGAATCCCACCTGATCATGGTGGATTATATATTTATGTGCTTTTGTATTTTATTGGTCAGTATTTTGTTAAGGATTTTTGCATCTATGTCCATTAGTGATATTGGTCTGTAGTTCTCTATTCCTGTGGGATCCTTGCCCTGTTTGGGTATCAAAATTATACTGGTTTCATAGAATAAGTGTGGGAGTTCGACATCTTTATCTGTGCACTGGAATAATTTGTAGAGGATAGGTGTCAGTTCTTCCCTGAATGCTTAGTAGAATTTTCCTGTGAAGCCATCTGGTCTGGGAACTTTTTGAGTTGTTAGTTTCTTGATAAACATATCTGTTTCTACTTTTGCTATGGGTCTGTTGAGATTCTTGACCTAAACAGGATAATATAGGGAGGGATTGTTTTTCCAACTATTTGTCCATGTTTTCCATGCTATTGAATTCATTAGAATATAGGCTTTCATAATACTTTGTGATTATCCTTTTTTCTTATCGGGATTCCATGTGTTTCATCACTCCTCCTGGCTATTGATGTTTGCCCCTTACTTTCCTTGGTCAGGTTTGCTAGTGGTCTGTCAATTCTGTAGATACTTTCAAAGAACCATTTTTTTGCTGCATTGATTTTTTTTTACATAGTTCTCTTGTCTTTCCACTTGTTTAACTCTGCCCTGAGTTGTATTATTTGTTTTCTTTTGCTTTTGGAGAGATTGTGCTGTTTACTCGGTTCTAGTTGTTGGAGGTTTTGAGATAGTATATTAGTCATAAGTCTCTCTATTGTTTTCCATATATGCATTAATTGCTATCAGACTTCCTCTGATAACTGCTTTCACTGTATCCCATAGGTTTTGGTATGTTGTTTTCTCATTCCCATTAGTTTATAGAAACTTCCTAATTTTCTCCCTAATCTGGGCCAGTATCCATTCATGTCACAGAAGATTGTTACTTATCCTCCAGTTGTTTCTCTGATTTTCTGATCATCCTTTTATTGATCACCAGCTTTATGATGTGGTGGTCCAAGAAGGATGTCTGAGTGGCCTCTATGTGTTTAAAGTTATTGTGTCCCAGCATGTGGTCTAAAATAATGTGGGGTTTTTTTGCATGTTTATTTCTGTAGCCTCCTTGCTGAGCTTCTTTCCCATTGATCTATCTTTTACTGAAACAGGATATTAAAGGCACCTACTATGATTTCTTTTTTCATCTATTGAATAGTTTGTTGAATTTCGCAGGTTTCTCATTAGGTATGTATATACTTATTATGTTCACTGGTTCATGGTTTACTGATCCTTTGAGCAATATATCTTGCCCATCCTTATCTCTTATTATGGTTTGCACCTTGAGGTCAATTTTTTCAGAGATTTGGATTGCATCCCCAGCTTTTTTTTAGTTGCCATTTGCCTGGTATGCTTTTGCCAGCCTTTTATTCGTAATCTATTGTCTGAGAGCTTAAGATGTGTCTCTTGAAGACAATAGATTGATGGCTTATGATTTCTAAGCCAGTGTGGTAACATTTGTCTTTTAATGGGCAAATTCAGGCTGCTGAAATTCAGAGTTATTATCACTATCTGTGGTTTCATTGCTGTCATCTTGCACCCTTTATGTTGGGTGTTTTCCTATCTCCCTGCACATCAGTGAGCTGTGTTTATGTGGGGGACTTCATTCTTGCCTTCCTTTCCCTCTGAGGCAATGTTATCTTGGTAGTTGTTTTTGGTGCATTGACTTCTGGATGAAGTTATGCTATATAGCATTCTGTTGCTTACGCTTGGTTGATGTTGGTCTTCTGATCACAGTGAGTCAGCAAGGATTTTCCACAGGGTTGGGTGTCTTTCAGTGTATTCTATGAGTTTTTCCTTGTCTGGAAAGATTTGCCTTAACCTCTATCTTAATGGATAATTTTTCAGGGGAGAGGATTCTAGGGTTGACATTTTTTCTTTCAGTTTTTGGAAGATGTTACTCCACTTTCTCCTTCTCTTCATAGTATCTGCTGATGGGGCCAAACATATTCTTACCTAAACACCGTTATATATATGACTGCCCTTTTTTTCTCTTGCTGTTCTTAAATTTTTCTTTTCCCTCAAAGTTGGATAATTTAATTATTATGTGCTTTGGTGAGTTCTTCCTGGGGTTTAGTCTAATTGGTGTCCTCTCTGATTGCAGTATAATGTCTGTTTATCATTCATTAAGGTGGAGAAATTTGCTCCCAGGAATCCCCTCGCTACTTTAGCTGTTGACTTCTTTGTTGTGTCTTGTTCTGGTATACCAATTATTTGAATATTGTTCCTATTCATAGCATCTGTCATTCTTCTCAGGTATTCTTCCGCCCTTTTGATTATCTTGTTTGTCTTTCCTGTTTGTTGAAGTCTGCCTAATTTTCCTCGAGATTGCTGGTACTATTCTCTGCTGCTTCAAGTCTGTTGGTGAGGTCTGTTATCTTGTTTTTTTCTTCTGTTATATCATCGATTCATTCTTGTATTTCTTTTTGGTGTGTGGACTTCATCCCCTATATCGTGGACTTCATCTCCTCTATCATTACATCCTTATTCTGTGTTGCTTGCCTCAGAAACTGTATTACTCCAACCAGCATTCTGAAGATTTCTTTCTGTGATAGATGAACGTCTGCTTCTTCTACCACTGGTGTTGAGTTTAGGACTCCCTTCGTTGTTGGATTTTCTTTTTCTTGTTTTCTTGTTGAGGATTTTGAAGTAGGTTGCTGTCTGCATGTGATTTTGGAGGAACTCGGTGTCATATTCCTGGGAGACCAAGGGGCCCTAAGTTCTTTCTCTGTGTGACTTGTAAGATTGGTTTTAGAGACTACCTGTGACCTACTATGGTGGTGGATCAGACTACTTTGTGGGCGAGGTGATACAGTAACTCAGTAGCTGGCAGTGCTGTGGGCCTCAGAGTGTGGGCTGAGGCCAGCTACTGTAGATATGCCACTGGAGCAGTTTGGGGCAGGTCTGCAGCATGGGCCCAGGCCTTGTGTGGACTTTCTGGCCACTATTTAGTCTTTTGAAATTTTTCTATGGATCTCAAATTTGGTAAAGGCAATTTTCAGCATGGGTTGTGGTTTTCAGGTCCTGTTGACTTTTTCTGTTTTGTTATGTTAAAATCCTAGGGTGTTCTCTGGGGATCCAGATTCTGCCTGTCTTGTTATTTTATTGCTATGTTAATGAACCAGGTTTCTGGTGGCTTACATTCAAAGTTACATAAAGGAACACAGCCTGCTATTTAAAGTCTTAAAAAAAATTTTTTTTTAATTACCGGACTTATGGGGTGCCTTGGTATTGGGCTGTGCTGTGCTTTCACCCAGGAAAGGGACACCAGATTAGTGAAGTGGGTTTGGGGCAGAATAGATTTGAATTATCCCCCAGCTGCACTCCTGTGTCACTTCTGGCACAATCCTGCACAGATCTACAGGCTGTGATCCTGGGATCTGCTTTCTGTCATGGGTAAATATCCCAGGGGCTCTTCAATTTATGCAAATTTATGTCTAATTATCAATCATTACCCACACTGGCAGGCTTTAATCTAGTCACTGTGTTCCTGGTTGGGGAGGGGATATGTAAAACTCGAGAATTTAGGAGTGGGGAGAATAGCAGGGAGGGGAACTCAACTGTAAGGTCTTGTGCCTATTTCTCAGAGGCTTTCTGCAAGCCTGGCATTTTGACCACCTTTAGACAGCACCCTCGGGAAATTACTGCAAGCTGCGGGTCTAGGATCTTGAGTGCAGGAAGGGGTGACAGACTCCATCCTGCTGGACCTGGTGAAAGATTAGTGCAACCTGCGGGAAAACACAATGAAATTAAAGCATTTCAGCGAGTTCCCAAATTTCTCTGTGGGTGAAAATCAAAGGGGGAGGTCTGAGCCACAGATCCTAGAACACTGAATCTATTATCACTCAGCCTCCCAATATTGGCCTCCTTACCTCTTAATTTTCAGATCCAACAACAGGAGCACCAAGCAGGTGATTCTACCTGGACGCCATCTTGACTCCTCTCCTCTATATAAACTTTAAATGCAGCTGCTCATGCTTCCTGGCCTGGAGCACTGTGTGAGTACAGGCTTCTAGATTGCCCAAGTGTTATCTTATTCAAACTCAGAATTGGGACCTATTAGGTCCCTCAAAGCAAAATTAAGAGACTAAAAGTGTGTTGCCAAAGCTCCCAGTGTGTTATCAATGGTGATTTCATTTTTCACCTGCTGTTGTGTCATTAAATGGAGGAATACTTCTTATTAGACAGCTTGTGATGATGAGAGCTAAACATTTACTGAGCTCATTGTCTTGGTGCATATGTGCATGGATGTTTGAGACTTTCCTTCACTTGTCTCACTTATCATGTCCTTTTATTTCTCTTGTTCCTATGGACCTCTGGCTAAAGGAATGTGGGGGTTTCATGACCGGGACCTGGTCTTACGGAAGGCTCTTTACACAATGATGAGAACAGGGGCAGAGAGGGAAGCTCTGAAGAGGAGATGGCGGTGGCAGCAGACTCAGCAGAACAAGGAGGTGAGTACCTGAAGTGTGTCCAAAGATAAGATCTGGAGCAGTAGAAGATTCCAGAGTGTGACCCCTCATACCAAGTGATCTTGTTTGGTCAGGTAAGAGCAGCTTCCATTTCTTCTCCCAGGAGCAGAGATACACTGCAATAGCACAATCTGTGGCAGTGTGACATGTGTCTATCTACACCTCTGAGCTGGCCTAGTTATGAACTGCCCACCTTCACTCTCAAAAGTGTCACAGCTTAAATGACAACTTATGTAACCATATGACTGCCAGATAACTGCTATTGTGGTACCATGAAGATCAGAGGAAGTTGTAAGGCACCTGGAACTACCCAAGATATCAATCTTTGATTGTAGCCATGCTCAATCCATAGAATCCTAATTGTCTTCCCTAGAGGAGCATTTTGTACAGCACTCTACAGGTCAAAAATGATCTTAAATAGCCTTTCCAAATACTGCAACTTCTGTTCTAAGGAGCTACAGGTCTAATTGCAGTTGGCAGTTATCTTACTGAGATGATGGGTGGCAAATCTGGGTTCTGGGTTTGCCCAACATATGTGTGAAGGTTAAGCAAAGTGGTGTGAGGAATCAAAAAGATACCCAGGCTTTAACCGGAAGTGAAACTAATATTTCTTGTGTGGTACAGAAAATTGTTTATGCTCTTTAGACTTCAAGTGCTCCTCCAATATATATAAATTTTTGTTGCAAGCTAAGGAGAAGCAAGGTGTAACTGCAAAACCAAACAAACCCACTGCTCAGGTCAATTTTAACTCATACCAGACATATTTCCCTGTAACCTGACTAGACAATAGCCTAAAAATTCTTCAACTTTGCTTTTCTAAGGGCAGAAATAACTCCTATCTATTTGAAGTGTCATCCCTTGAAAGCTTTTAATAGGAAACCTTACACATGGAGTGTGTGCAAGATGATATGTGACCCTCTGCCACTTGGAAGAACCCTTCTCACTGGACAGACTCCCCCAACTCTGAGATTAGAAGTTGAATTTTCTGAAAAATATTGCCAGCAGCCAAAAGGTGGCGGTCAGTGGTTACTAGCACGAATGCCAGCCTAGGTCCCATATAGACTCACCTCAACTACCATGCATTTCTCAGGTAGACAGGTGACAAATGAAGGTGATACTCTGACCTTCCCCACCTTTCTGAAGCAAGCACCCTTCTTTTGTGTACAGTCAGGGCTGGTGTACACAGAGGAAGAATGGGAGCGAGAGTGGACAGAGCTGCTGAAGTTGGCATCCAGTGAGCCAAGAACACACTGCAGCAAGAATGGCGGCTCAGGCGGAGGGTAAGTATGCCTGGTCCAGGGTTCCTGAGCTCTAGGGACCCAGCCTCCAAACAACACGCCTAGAGATCAATGGAGCCCTGCCAGATATTAGCAATCACCTTGGCAGATTTCAGCACACATATATAACTAGCAAGGTATGTGCTACCATCTCCCATACTCCTCATGTCCATCGGTTTATAGTAGCCTTTAGTAGCCAAAGTGCAGGTTTATACTCACACACTGCCACTCGATTAACCAGGCTCCCAAGGCTCAGGCTTCTGGTTTGGTGGTTTCCCCAGCTCAATATCTATTTAATTTTTGGCTTCAAGAACTCACACTCCAAACAAAAGATCCTTAAGCCAGTCCACAATGTCCCAAATGGACTCTATATGTGTATGTGTGTATATATGTGTGTGTGTGTGTGTGTGTGTTCCTTTCAAAAAGGCTCTGCAACTGGATATATTCAGGACATTTGTCCTTGCATACACAGCATAAATATTTCATTACATGTGAGTGCCACTAAACAGCTGGGGCAGTTGCACAGCCTTTGACTTAAGGAATTTCAAAGAGTTGCCTTTGGGTTGTTCTTTCTGGATCTGAGGACAAAGGTATTGATCCTTACCTTTTTTTTTTTTTTTCCTGTTTGCAGTGACATTTTTTTT